CCGTTTACCCGTCGAGGACAGTTTTATTAGACAGATAATTCCCAAGTCTAACGAATCAGACATTGTTTTCGAATCTATAAAAGAAATCAAGCTTGGACCATCAAATTTTACAACTTATCTCGTTAAATGCATAACAAATTTATTAAAAATTTTGATAGAATATCAACATCTTTTTTTGGTATTTCGTTACAATTAGCAGTGTCTTTTACACTTTTACTAGATGAGATCAGGTACTTAGGGAGAGTCATCGTGGTTGATATGAAATCTAAAACCCCTTCGAGTGAGGCATTCGCCATCTTTTCCCACGTGCTGTTGTATCGTGGGGCTCGGGGCCCATATCAAGTGCTTCCAACCCTAAGCTGAGTACAAGAAAGTAAACTTTTCACGTACATTTGTCAATTTCGATCCAAATTTCTTTTCGGAAGTGTAAATCGCCGCGAAAAAGGTGTTTTCAGAGCATTTGCGTCCGACACATGTTATAATTTATAATATACGAGAGCTAGATGAAAAATGTGGGACCTCATTCAGATAAAAATAAAAAATTACTACAAACGTAGTTGTTTTTCAGTTTAATCTTCTACAGATGTCTATAAATGATTCATACATCCGGCAGTCGTCGAAATTTTGTTTTTGTTTTTTTTTTGTTTCAATTCAAGAATTTTACCGCTTGAAAAAACAGCTGTTTTTATTTAAGTCACAAAAAAAGTTGAAAGTGGCCTCCATCTTGTTATAAATGCAGCCAAACAGCCTATCGGACACTTCAGTCATGATTTACCACGACCAGTAAACTTTTATTTATTTGCAAGAAACCCAAAAACAACAATTAAAAAAAAACTTGGATATGAACGTATTTTTCAGGGATAATAATTTAACAAAAAACGAAAAGTAACGTCACAATTACAGTAAGACTTTCTTAGATTATTAATTTAGACGACTGTCACCTCAATGCAATTTACAATAATCTGTGGCGTTATTAAGACATTATTAATTAAAAAATGAAAAAGAATTAGAATGTGCCACTTTTTTGGGGACTGAACATACATACATACATACAGGGTTGCTAAAAAGTGTGGATACAGCTAAATATTTCCAGAACTCATTGAAATTTCGTACACAAGTAAAAATATTTGATCTTTATCAGTAATGTAACATGTCTTTCCTTATTTGCACTAAAAGGTACAAAAAAAAAAAACAAATCAAAATAATCCAATTTGTAAAAATGTTTTTTTTTTGCTTTATTTCAGTTAAATGTGTTATTTTTACAATTATTATTAACTTTTATTTAATTTTTCTATCAATTTACAGGTGGTAAAGAACTAATGATAGATAAAAACAACATTTCCTAGGCCAAATAAATTTCACATTTGCTAAATTGTGTTAATTTAATATTATTATTTTTTTAGTGCAATAAAGAGAGACATGCGTTTCTGGATGCAGAAAAAAACCAATTTGTAAAACTTGTATTACAATATTTCGTGGAGAGATAAATATAGGATGAATGAATAAAATTAAATCTTGATATACAGTGTGTATATAAAAAAATAACACAGTTTTCAAAAATCGGTATTTCACTTTTTTCAAATAATAGACCCTGTTCTAAATTTTGTTCTCTTTATTTTTTATATTTACGGTTAATAGTTACTGCGATTTTTTACTTTTTTGAGAGACACATCGACATAGTGGAAAAATAAAAAAATAGAGTAAGATTCAGTAATAAAATACAGGATGTTCTATATAAAAAAACTGAAATATTGATATTTCAAAGTTGTAAAGTTTGTGAATTTCTTGTAATCACTCTGTATATTAAAATTTGATTTAGCTGATACCACAATAAACCGCTTGCCTTTATTATACCTCCATAAAATATTGTAACACAGATGTTGTTTTTTTGTGAACCCTTTTATTGCTAAAAAAATTCAAAAATCGGAATATGTAAAAATATATAAATTTCTTTTAAAAAACCAAGTTGTGTGTAACAAACAGAACACTCTGTATAGTTGAAGGCTTATTTTTTACCAAATTCGAACGAATAATAGATCAAATGAAATAGTTTCAAAAATACTTCATTGTGATCTACTAAAAAAATGACGTTTGGTTTTTGACAGACACTAGTCAGCTTTATTTTTTTAAATTACACTGTATATTCTTTTTTCTTTATTTGTGTAGAGATTTGTTTTTAAAATACAAATGCACAAGAAACAATATATTTTAGCCAAAAAACATCTATCGATGTTATTTAAAATTGTCTCCCTGTTGCCCTAGACATTGTTGACACCGTCTGGAAACACTCATCGTTGCGTTGGTTTGACAAATAATCAAGACACACTTAATCATTCTTATGGTTCATTGTCGGTAAACTAAATTTAATTTAATTATTTAAATTCTCGATTATTTTTTAATACAGATAGTCGCTACATTTTTTATATTAAAAAAAAACTGTATAAGATCCAATGAAAAAATATATACAGTGCCATTAAAAAAAAAGTCATGTGGAAAACAGTGTGTCACATGGACTCATTTTACAGTGTTTCACGATTTTATTTGGTGTATCGTCACCTTGTATATAACAACATTCTGGTAATGGATTGTCATGGGTACCTAAGTTAAAAAGTCGTTTACAATACCACAAACAGTAAGTGCTATAAATGTGAAAAATACAGGCCCGGACTTGAAATTTTATGAAATTTTAAAACGTAAACGACCCCTAACTTAAGCACTTATGACAATCCCATTTTCAGAATATTGTTGGCGACACTTTACTAAACAATTTTTCAAAACTTGTAAATTACTCGTATTTACTAAGGTTTGGAATATTCTTCATATTTCTCCTTCCGACCGAAATAAAACATTCGATTACCTGCACCCCCGAGTAATTATTAGCTAAGCGGATTACACAGCATGAGGCTGTCTCACTATTGTTCCACCTAAGCTGTCAACTTGACATAGCACGGATTTCCTATTTGTCAAAACGGATTTTTTCTCTGAGCATAGTTCCCCGTAAAGTTCTTAATCTTATTGTTGTGGCAATGCATACAAGATTTGGCGTATTTTCAACTTGTCTGATTTAAAAGATTAAAAAACTGAGTTGGTATTATAATACGTTATTAATCGTGAAATAATAAGAAGGTTTGTGTTCAATAAATGGACAACACCCAACTTCAATTTTTGACGATTTATATATTTTTTTTCGACTGAAAATATAATGAAGACTTAACTCGTTTGTATCATTGTATTCGTATTTTAATGATGCACCCAAACTTTAATTTTAAAGATATATACATTGCGATTTAAAAAAATAACATGGGTCATACATCAATATATATATATATATATATATGTCATATTTGAAATGTACTAAATTCAAGCTAAAAACAAAGGCGTTTACAGAATTTCAATACATATATCTATCCGTTCTCAAGGTGTTACATATATCGCAAAAGTTGCCCATTCTGTTTCTCCAAAAAAAAAAACTACTTTTTCCGTTTATTCAAAAACTAATCAAATAGACGTACGGCCACGATTTAACATTCAACTTCCAAATCAGGGGCTGCATACTTTAGATTAAGAAAGTGGGTAAAATGTTTATACCCCTGAAGCATAATCCGTGCAATATTGATGGTTGAACTTCGGAGCCGAGGGAAGTTCGACGTATGATAACTCGGTACATTACTGATGTGCTGGGTTTGTGGATTTTTTTTTTTCATTAATGGCTGACATTGACGGATTGCGTTTGCACACGAAAATTAAAGTTGATTTTAATAACACTCACACTTACGTTAAATGTGACACATTGGTTATTGATATACTCGTATTTGTGTTCCTAATTCACAACCGTAGACTCATAATTTAACGGGTCAGGAAACTTCGAGTTTAAAACTGTCTCTTTTGGAAGCATCCCAGGAGGCTTTAGGAAGCTATCGTTTTTAGAGCCGTCTAGCGGACACTACGACTAAACATGAATGAAACTTGCATGAAAGCGTCGTTCAATACAAACTGTCCGGCGGCGGTGAAAATGTCAAATTTATAGATTCGTTTTTTGAATGTTTTTGCATAAGTTTGAAAATAAGTTTTTTCAATTAAACTTGGTAGATTATTTGGCCAGTTTTTATTAAAAATTCTAACGCTCATGGAATTAAGTCAATTATTATTAAAATGCTAGCGAGTGTCATTAATCAGATCAAAATTTCATTGTAAGTAGACTTAAACGCAGTAAAAATAGTTGATTGAGTTTGAACATAATCCCACCAGGACAAACATATTTTGCCCGTTCAACTGTAGAGAAGTTAAATCTTCCGTACCGTAAAATTTTATTGCAACCTCTTTAACTTTACAGATCCTTGCCCACATCTCCAGTTGAACTTGATAAATAATAAATATCCATCTTGCATTGATCGATTTAAATAAAAAAATTATATACCCAAAAAATTTACAAATTTTATTTACCAATAGTAAACAGACTTAGTAAAAATTTAAATAAAATTGATTATCGTGATTGATTATCACGAGTTTAACTTGAGCAAATATTGATAAGCAATGTCATCACCAAATGACAAAAAATGATTAATTAAAACTTATGTTGACACTGATTTACGTCAAAGTAAAAACAGTCGCACCATATGAAACTTGACAGACAACGTAAATTCTAATTAATTTTATTTTAGATCTCACGGTATTATTTTAATTCACACCGTTCCTCATCCCGTGCATAAATATATCACCAAAAGATAAACAACTTTTTTGAAAAAATTAGAAGCTCAATTTGCTGCTCATTGGACACTTACGTCGGCTGTATTTCTTTCACTTAATTTCATGTTTCTATTTATTCATTGCCAACGTACGTGAAAATCACTACGTGTCACATTATTAACGATTTGTTTGACAACAAAATTGAGTACTAAGGTCAACTACTGGACCACTTCAATTTTCAAATTACCTACTCTCAGGTATTTTGAATCCATTATCTAAATTGTTGACTGATAACATCGTCTCCCTTGTTACAGATATGATCTGGGCTTGGCAACGTCATCGCCGAAGATTTAATTCACTCATACACACCTCTCCAATCCGTCGATAATTTCAGGGTTAATTAATTAGTTTCATGCAAAACGCTGAGATTGGTCGTTACGAAAATGTCGGTGGCGGCTAAAATATGTCGAAGAATGTCGCCAAAGACCTTTGCGCTTACAGCTATAGGTCTCACCATCATTCTTTGCGTTTATTATGCCAACTATACAACAGATATTCGATCGAATCAAACGCAAGAAAATTCAAAAGGTAGCGAAGAGAACGGACCACCGCAACCTCAGAAGTTAGTCAACATGCTACTTCAAAGATCAAAAGGTACCACCAACAAAGAATATCAAATGTGTCCGAAACTACATCCGGCAGAAGCAGATGTCAACACGGTGGATGTTTTCAAGGATTTTGAATTTCAGGTGAGATATAAAGGGTGATGCAATTTTTTTGTGCATTTACTTATTAAGCGGGGCGGTTTACTTTTCTTTGTTTTGTCGTGGAAATTTCTCATTCGCGAGTGTTTGTCTTGGGCCGAGTCGGGAACACTTTGTTTGAGTTTACGAAACAGGGAAACAGCAAGAATGAACAGAGGTGACTATTGTTAACGTTGTAACCACATTTTGCAAGAGTACAACACAGTTCTAATTACTTTCAAGTGTTTTTGTCATTTACATGCGCCTGATCTTTTGAATACACAAAAGCTAGCATTTTTAACGATGTCCATATACCATGTTATTCAAAAATCATTATAAGACCGTATTTAATACACGTAAGCTTATCCTTAGTTACGTTATCTTCACCACACAGATTTTTTTTTACTTTTTACTTTTACAAAAAAATGTGAACACCTGAAGATGTTGGCGCAGCTAAATCCAATGTTAGGTAAAGCACTTTGAGTTGTGGACGATAATAATCAAAACCTGGATTCATTAAATAAACTGGGTTGTTTTCATTGCCCTGAGTCAATCTGGTAACTTTGGTAGCCAAGCAAAAATGGAACATATGTTTTATAACTAGTAGCTGCTAATCACTCAAACCTTATTACCCTTGGAGTTATTGACAACAAAGATGACATCGGAATGACAATCTAATTAAATCATTCCTTCAATCACATTCATCAATCTATCAATATTGCTCTTACACGATCAATCAGATCGTTAATCCTTCGTGAGACTGTCAATTTGACCGTGAAGGGTGCCCATTAGGTCTATTTTTTGCGAAACATTAGTACAACAAATAGTTACAAGTATGAGAGCACCATTTTCGCCACTCAATGGAAATCCGAATTTGAACTGAACATCTGGAATCACAGTGTCAAACTAAACGTTGCCATTGTGCGTCTTAAAAATAGATAAGAAAAATTGGTCTAAAGTTAATTTAGACAGGATTTCCCTCAAATAAATTTAGTATCTGGGAAAAAAAATGTCGACCAGGATGAGATTCAAACCTACGCGAGCACAGCCACCAGGAGCTCCTTATGTCCATAACCCAAATATCGATCATGTGACACTTGCAGCAAATATTGCACAAACATTTTTGTAAAATAGTTGTTATCAAGGCGGATTCATAAACCACCACGAGTATGTTATTGTATAAATTTAAATCCTATTTACAATGAAGAATTTTAAACGGACTTCATTACGTCGTTACTGAGACGATAAGACAAATTACAATTTGCCAACAATTAGTCCGGTAGTTTCGGAAATTATTTGTCTAATAAAAGTAGAGACACGACCGACAAACAGACGGAAACGGTATACCTATTTTTTCGTACTTTCGAAGTTATGAAACGTCGAGAAAACATGAAGATAGCCATTTGTCCGATAGGTCCTGTTATAATAGCTACTTCCTTCGCTTACGCTCGGGAAGTAAGAATTATGTATCAATCGTTGGAAGTGAATTTTAACTTTTTGTAAAACAGGTAAGCTCCGAAACTACCGAACGGATCGTTGTCAAATTTTATTAATGTTAGGAATATATTATGGCAAAACACTAATCAAAATTTGTTTGATCTGAATAAAGTTCACAAATCTAAGTTCGAGAAAAATCATTAAAAAATTCCTTACGTCGCTTACAAAAATAAAATTTAGATAAATGCATAAAAAATGTGAAAAATTAGCTACTGTTATATATAGTTACTATAGCTACTGTTATATAGCTATAGTAATCGACTCTAGCGAGCAACTTGCCACTTTCCTGTTTTCTCGACGTTTTATGACCCTTTGGGTACGTAAAAAGTGGTTTCCCGTCTCCATCTGTCTGTCGTCTGTCTGTATGTCCATCTGTCTGTCCGTCTGTTTTGTCCGTCCGTCGATCTGTCTGTCTGTCTATCTGTGTTGATTTTTATTAGACAGATAATCAAACAACGAAACTACCGGACTGATTGTTGTAAAATTTTGTACGTACATTAGATTATCATGGAAATTTAGTAAAATGCTAACAAAAATTTACAACAATAAATTTGTTTTTAATTTTATAAAATAAGATACTCATGCACTTGTAGTATATGAATCCGTGTCGAGTTTTTACCCTAGACATCCAGGATTTTGGAAAAAATAAATTAAAATTGTATAACAACATTTTGCAATTTAACTAACTAAATTGTAAAACCGAATGGTCTGAAATCTTGCCAACGTTTTAAGGTTATCGTAATCATGGTAAATCGTTAATCAAAATTTATTCGTTTTTCCCTTCCCAAAAAATTGATGACGTCATCTCAAAATTTTGCCGACTAAATCCTCTCTGAAATATGCAAAATAAAAAATTTTTGAGTGACTAAAAAATATTAATGTATGAGGCAATTTATTGTATTTATTTAATGAAAAACGACTCACTCCATTTTCCCAAAAATTTGGGCTGTGATATGTACATTTACTTTAACGTTACATGCATATCTTTATATTAACTTATAAAGGGTTTTCATAACGAAAATAACAATCGCAAAATCAAATCTTATAATTTTTATTGAAATACCGAAACGACAAATTAAAATTTGATTTTGATTTTCTCTGCGCAATAAACAGCGTCTGCCAATGGATTTCAACTAAACTCAAATATTTCACCGCTTTATGCGTTTATTTGTTTGTAGTGCTGATGTAGCAATTAACTATAAAACAACGAACGGAAAATCATAAATACATTTTAAGTGATTTAGCAATAAAAACATTCAATACATTGATTTGGAAATGAGTTTTAAAGGATTCGTTTGTTTTTTCAGAAAACACCAATTTTAATGTTCTTTCGTTATTTCGTTTATTTACTCAACGCTAGAGCAAAAATCATAGATAGGTTTAAAAACTTTCTCTTAATTTAATTGACTAAAAAATTTATCTAAGGTTACTTCGACAGAACTTCGATGATGCAATTTGGATTTTATGTACGAAAATCTGTATGCCCAGGGCATCAAGGCAGATTCATAAACCACAAGTGTAGGACTATGTTATTTTATAAAATTTAAAAACAAATTGAGAGGACGTTATCAAATTATTAGTAGAGCTGATTAGTCAAATTTTGGTTAGGATTTTACCATCCACATCAGTGTCGAATTATTGTCTATTGTGACGAAAGTGCTTTAACTAAAGATTTTTTTATCAATCATGATCACTGATCAGTAGAGAGCGGATTTCTGTCGGGCTAGACAAGGCCAAACTCGGTACGGCTCGTGCGGGATGGGTATTCATTGCAGTTACCGGCTGCACTTCGTTTATTTGAGATTAGAATAACGCTGCTTCGTTGCACTCTGCTGTTAATTCCAGTTCTCATTTACTTAGCCGTTTGATTAATAAATCGTTAATTGTATTTATGGAATCAAATGACAATTAAATTCAGTGATTACCTATCACCCGCTACTGAGTCCCGGCGATGCAGCGCGTCCCCACCTATAATCGTGACGTAGCCCGACAGAAATCCGCTGTCTACTGATCAGAGCCTGGACAGGAACGAGCAAACAGGCAAATCTTGAAAATCCACTTTTGTTTTACGTTAATTCGGTGGGATTTCATTTCATTTAATGTAATGAATGCATTTAACCAAAAATGATTGCCCTGTCAAAATAAGTATTCTGTCTATTTTCCGAAACAAAGGATCATAATGAAATTCTTAAAATGACTATGCATTCCAATCTATTATATGGAATTAGTAAATGTCAGTGTAAAGGTGAACGAAAAGATTGAACACTAGCAGAATTCTCACGCTTTATTAATGAATCGTTAATAATAAATATAATACTTCAGGTTATATATATAAAAAAAATAGATATAGGGTGAAAACGAACTGTTGGTGGCCAGCCAATAATGTGATATATTTTAAGTTAGATATAATTAGATTACTTAAACTTCATATTTAGTTGTAAAATTAAAAAAAAAAACAAGACTTAAATAAAATATTTCAGTTACTTAATCCACATTTCTTTTGCCTATTTATTTCGCGTTAGTCAGAGATTGAGATTGTGTTTGCTGTTCCCATTACATAAGTAAGCCCCTAGTTAATTTGCTGGTTGGTGTAAAATGTATTTTTTACATAAAAACAGCTTTCTCATTCTAATAGCACTTAAATTTTTTTAACGCCGTTAAAATTTGTTACGTCTTTAAAATAATTAAGGCGTGAATTGGAAAGTTTAGACCAAACTAAAAAAGTACCGGGGTTTTTATGAATGTCTTGTAGTGGAATATCAGTGTTTAATGACTACTCTCCCCATAAAAGTATAATTTGGTTTGTGAGGGTGAAAATATCTTCTGTTGACAGATCATTAAATGTTTCAACCTTGAGTAGAATAAATAGTTCTTTGAAACATAAATAAACAGATCATTTGTTGACGTTTTCTAGTAACAGTGCATGAAATTCGTTTCCCTGCATCACGCTTTTTGAAGTTACGCAATCAATTGTAGATTTTAATAGTTTGGCGTATCGTATCATTGATTTTTATAGAAATTTCACATTTCCAGAAGTCACATTCGTATCTGTTCTTTCCATAGGTATCACTTAACATAATAAAAGAATTCATTTTATAAAATAGATTCTTACGTAACTTTAACAAATGAATAAACAAGTATACACTCTAAAACTGCGAACCACGAGGCAATTTGTATCCGGCGATGTGATTCCATGGTTAACAGATACAGTGCAGAGCAGCAAACAATGTTAAAAAATTTGAAGTGCGACTTTTATGTTCTGTGAAAATCTGTCCTAAACTGTCTGTTTGGCTGTGACCAAACAATTAAATTTTAATATACCGTTCACATTTATTATCTCATTTACTAAGCACGCGATGATAAAAATCCAATCCAATAGTAATTGGGTAATTAAGTTATCAAAACACTCTGTATACGGGTTCATTTGCTTGTAAAACATTGTAACCTAACAAATTCCTATCCTGATAAATTCGACGGTAGGTGATTTTTTTTTAATATATACATATATA